TAGTCATGGATTATTGTGGATTATCTGTACAGTTATAGATATAGATACAGATAATCGCGGATTATCTGTAATAAGATATTTTCAAGCTGCCATTAATGAATCATGTGGATAATGTACATTTCAATCATAGTTAACAGTATGATACTTGTTCTACAGGTAATCCTCAATTTACCACAGTTCATTTAGTGACCATTTGAAGTTACAATAGCATTGAAAAGAGTGATTTATGATCATTTTTCACACTTACGACCATTGCAATATCCCCATTGTCACATAATCAAAATTTGAATGCTTGACAACTGTTCATATTTATGATGGTTGGAGTGAGGTCACGTGATCACCTTTCGCAAAATTCTGACAAGCAAAGTCAAAGGGGAAGTCAGATTCACTTAACAACCATGATAGTAACTTAACAAATGCAGTGATTCACTTAACACAACTGTGGCAAATAAGATCATAAAATGGGGCAAAATTCACTTAACCAATGTCTCACTTAGCAACAGAATTTTGGGGTCAATTGTGGTCATAAGTCGAGGAATATCTGTATTTTATACCAAATATGCAATCCAAAATTGTCTGAAAACTAAAAATTAAAATGAAATAAAACTTGCTACAGAAATTGTCTATGTTCATCATCTTTCCACAATCCATAACTTATTACACTGAACTGCAATAAAAAAATACAATGTTGAAACACCAATAGAATCCACTGTGTCATTTGGATGGTGAAGAGATTCTCTTGAGGTCATTTTTTTTTGCTACCAGAGCCAAGATAACAGATCAAAGCTCAAACTGGTTTGATGCCAGACATTTAGCTCTTTACCTTATAATAATTCTGCATTTCTTAAATCATAGGTGTTCAATAGCAGCCATGGTGGAACTAAAGGATCAAATTCCAAGAAACTAAGAATTGAAGATTATAATACAGAATAACAGATTTGGAAAGTACCCTGAAGGTCTCCTAATCCAATCCCCTACTTAAGCAGGAAATCCTATACCATTTCAGACAAATACTGTCCAATTTCTTCTTAACAGTCTCCAATGTTGGAGCACCCACAACTTCTTTAGGCAAGTCATTCCACTGAATAATTATTCTAGCGGTCAGAAAATTTGTCCTTAGTTCTAGATTATTCTCTCCTTGATTTCCATCCATTGTTTCTTATCCTCCCTGCAGGTGCTTTGGAGAATATGTTGATCCCTTTTTCTTTGTGACACCCCTTAAATATTGGAACAATGCTATCATGTCACCTATGGTCCTTCTTTTCACTACACCAGACATATCCAGTTTCTGCAACTGTTCTTTATACGTTTTAGCCTCCAACCCCCAATCATCTTTTTTGCTCTTCTTCACACTGTTATTTTTGGACAAACATTTATGGATATAAGAGCCTTTTAATGTTCTCATTAAATAGAAACAATTTTAGCCTGTTCCTCTAGCTCGTTGGTTACTGATTCTTTTATGAATCTGCTTTGAGCAATACAGCAATCTGAAACTCTATGAGGAACAATACAACTGATACCAGAGAAAGTAGAGGTGCTGATAGATTAAATGAATTTTGTATAATCCTAGCAGCAAATTTGGCTTAATTATTGCCTTGATTCCTGGCGATATGGTTGGTCTATAAGTTGTGTTTGTCTGTGTATATCTGTGTGTTTTTCAGTAACTATTCATTTTGCTGCTAAACATATACTCTAGGTTTTCACCAACTGTGCTACAGAATAGGTGAAGTCAGGACACAGCAATTAAGGGACTGAAAATGGAGTTCACTGATTTGAACTTTGTTTAAAATACATTCTTCTTGTTGTTGTTGTGCCATATCCATTATTGGACATTGGCGATTATGTTGACAATCCTGTTTTTATCAGCAGCCACACGAAAAAGTGCTGCCGAGTTTTGTCCAAACCAATTCCTTAGATTTTGAAGCCACGATGTTCTTCTTCTTCCTGACCTCATTTGCCTTCAATCGTTCCCTGGAGGATTAAATGGAGTATGCTGTATTTTTCTGGGTGTCGCATCACATGTCTGAAATATTCTAATTTTCATTTTTTAATTGTTTTGATGATTTCCCTTGGCTACAAGAACAATAATAAAACAGAATAAGATAGACCCCAATTGATGGTATTAGAATCATATACCAGATGAAAAGTTTCATACTTGGAGTTAATTATCCAGATATATAGGAAGGCAGTTCCCATCAGAAGAATAGACTTCATTTGAAAGCCTAAACTGTCTTAAAAGATTTATTAATTCAGATAGGGTTTGCATGAAACACCAAAGCAAAACACATTTTAATCTTGAGAATGATATGTGAACTGGAAAAATGTCATATAACCACTAGATTAAAGCAAAGATATATAAAAACATATGACTCTGCTTCTATAATTGCTTCCTGGATCCACTAGGACAGTGGTGGTGAACCTATGGCACGCGTGCCAGAGGCGGCATTCAAAGTCCTCTCTGTGGGCACACACGCCATGCTCCGGAGATGGCAACCATCCCTCTTCAACCCGCCCACTAACTCGCTGAGGTCCCATATGGCCGGATGCATCCCAGCACCCATGCGCTCACTGGCCTCTGTGTGCAGGGGCCGATGGTGTTAGGCAGCAGCCGCCCCAGCCCCTGCCTCACCTTTCCCTGTGACAATGGCACCCCTGCCCTGCCTTGCCTTGCCTCAGCCCACAGGACAAGCCTCCTGCCCACCTCCCCACCTGCCAGAGACCCCCTGGATCTCCCCCAACCCTGCCCGGCCCCCACAGACGTCCCTCCCCACAAGCAACATCGAGGAGATCACGTCACCTTGGCCACTCCCACCCAATCTGCCATGACCACCGCAGCCATGCCCACCTAGTGGGCCATGCCCACTTGGCACCCAGCAATAAATAAGTGGGTTTGGGGTTGCAGTTTGGGCACTCGAACTCTAAAAGGTTCGCCATTACTGCACTAGGAGTATCCTAAATAATTCATATGATTACTTAATGAATTATCAATTCAGAAAATGTATCAATTTAGTAAACTATGACTAAGTTAAACACAGATATATAAACATAGGCAATATCAGTAAAATATTAAAATATAAAGAAATGTCACAATAAAACATGGACCTAAACAAACATATATTTTTAAAATCTCTTTAAAAAGCCGGAACAGGACAAAAATTTTTATAGTGCAGTGTTTTTTAAATTTAGCACCTTAAAGTGTGTGGGCTGAATGACTGAGGAATTATAGGAGTTAAAGTCCACACATTTTAAAATTGCCAAATTTGAAAACATTGGTCCCAGGTAGCACCTAAGTTAATTTTGGAAATAAATTATTCCACTATTTATGTTTCTTTTCTGCTTATGTATTTCTTTTTGCATGTTTTGTTCTGAAATCCATGATGAAGAAGCTAATGAGTGGCTCAGTGTTATAAAGATATACAAGTAGTTCTCATTTAGCAATCACAATTGGAACTGGCAATTCAGTTGTTAAGTGAAGCAGTCATTAAGTGAAACCATGACCATACTTACAATCTTACTTCAGCTTTCCATTGCTTTACAAATCTGTGAAAGGCATAAATGTAATGATTGGTCTTAAAGTTATTTTTCATCATTATCACAACTTCGCTAAACAAGGCAGTGGCTAAACAAGGACTACTTTTATACTATTGCTTAATTCTTTCTGTATTTTTCATAGTCCTCTTCAGTAGCCTAGTCAAGAAGGGATTGTGAATATTCAGAATAATTCTTTGTTTATTATGGATACTACTCAATTATTAGGATTAAACAAATGTAAATTTACTGCCAACCAGAGAGAGATGCTTGCAGATGCTTATCTACATCCCAGTTAACTGTCACTGGGTCAGAAAAGTAAAAACCTGCCTATTGTTCTTTTGAATGGTTCAACTGGTGTCAATGAAAGAGAAAGAATATTGGACCACAAACAATTAAAATGTTAGTGATCTGCTATTATAATTACACCTCTAATAACTTCTGAGAACAAACTGTTAAATTAGCTCCGTATTAATGATATATAAGTTTATTAGTTTCCTTGGCTTGGTAACTAGTAACTATCCCAGTAGTTTATCTGACAGTTCCAAAACCAGATCATTCTTATAGCATAGCCAGAAATCTTCCCAAACAATACTATCCATAATTTACTACATAACCAGAGTTCACTCGGTAGATTATAAGATTGTTTAAAACAGTAAAAAATAATAATAGTAAAACAATCTAGTAATAAGTAAGATCATGTATTGATAAATAGCACAAGAGAAAAATACAGGAAGTTATTGATTTATTACCACAACTGAGCCCAAAGTTTCTATTGCTAAGTGATAGTTGCCCCATTTACAACTTTTCTTGCCACAGTTGTTAAGTGAATCACTGCAATTATTAACTTAATAACATGGTTGTTGTTCCCCATTGACTTTACTTGTAAGAAGGTTGCAAAAAGTGATCACATGACCCCTGGACACTGTAACTGTCATAAATATGAATCAGTTGCCAAAGTCAAATTTTGATCGACTCTTGGCCATGGGGATACTGCAACATCATAAGTGTGAAAAACAGTCATAAGTCATTTTTATAAATGCCGTTGTAAGTGAACAGTCTTTAAATGCACTGTTGTAAGTCCAGGACTATCTGTACTAATCCCCCTCTTGTATTTTGTCCATATATGGTCAAGAATGGTCAGGATTCTCAAGAATCTGGATAGGGCTTAGGGGAGGAATAACTCTTCCTGACAGCATTATCAAAAAGGCTGCTATTTAAAAAATGTCTATAGCTTGCAAATAGAAGAATGATAATCATAAAGAAGAGGAGAGTAGGCAGCCATTTCTGACTGGTGTCTATACTTTTGCTCTTTAAAATGTACCACCAGGGACAGTTCACCACTAGGTAAGCTGTCCTACTATTTAATTACTCTTTATGTCAAGAAATCCCTTAATATTCACCCTGAATCTTCTTTCTTTCTATCCATTAGTTTTTGTCCTGCTCTCTATTTCAGTAGAAAACCAGTTTACCCTTTGAATAAATAGGATGTTCTTATGGGGCTTGGTTTTCACATCTTCTATCCATCCCTGGATAAACACAAAGGGAAGGAAATCAGTCAAATGAAAATGTGTGTGATAACATAATCATGTAATTACCATTAGTTATATATTTATGACAGTTGCCATGATGCCAGTATGTAATTGTGATATTCCTAAGGCTGCTTTCACTTATATAGGGAGAAACAGGAAATGTGATTAAAAGGCAACTATACTGATACTGATACTACCTGCTAATTATCATTAAATAAGGAACTGCAATACTTTTGTGCTGTTTGTGGAAGTAACATTCTATTTTTAATTAAGATAAAATTTAAAAAATGATTAATTTGCTTATCACGTGTCAGACTTAAAGACAGCATGAATAATGTAGAAGCAGTGTGTAGCAGCATTTAGCCTGCCTTTTTGGACTTAGAAACAATTAGTGTTGGGCCAAGAATTTAGATGGGATACTAACAGGAAATTCATGAAGTATGGGTCATATTTGGAAATGGAAAAACCTCTTAGGTTTTGTTGTCACCAAGATTCATGCTTGACTTAAAGAAGATTTTATCTTAAGGGTAATATCCAGGTAGTCCTCACTTACCAATTACAATTGGATTGGCAACACAATTGCTAAGTGAGGTGATCATATACTGAAATGTTACATGACTGCAGCTGACTTACAATGTCAGTTTGTTGGTTCCAGTTGTAGTCATGAAGCAAATCACTGCAGGTCATTTAGTACAATGACAAATAACCACAAATTCTGATTTTTTGCTGGCTTCCCTACTGACTTTGCTTCTTGGAAGCTGACTATGAAGGTCAAAATTGGTGATAATTACAGTATAGACAAATAGTGGATAGGTGGAAGATAGATCGTAATGTGGGTTTGATAGAGAAGATGAAAACTTGTTAAAACAAATAAAAGATCAAAGACGAACTCACATTAAGAGAATTTATGGGGTGTTAGTAGAATTGGATTCAGAAGCAGAATTAGTCAAAGAATGTATGATAAAAGGGCACAAAATTTTGGCGAACCAGTTCTATTAGATACCTGGGAAATTATTTGGGTGAGGAATGTCAAATTTACACAAGCCCAAAACTTAAGGGAGAATTTTTACAAAATGTTTTATAGATGGCACCTTGATCCACAAAAAATGTCTCGCATGTATCCTGACTTACAGCCTAAATGTTGGAGATGGGGATGTTTGGATGCTACTTACTATCATATCTGGTGGTCGTGTAAAAATATAAAAGCTTTTTGGATTAAGATATGGTGGAATATTCAAAGAATTTTTAGAAGGAGGGTAAAATTTACCCCACAATTGTTTTTGTTAGGTATTGTTACTGATTGTGATACTAAAGAGACTACATTGATGTTAAATTTAATTACAGCCGCAAGGTTGTTAGTAGGGCAATGTTGGAAGAAGGAATCTTTGCCTACTTTGCAAGAATGGTTTTTTAAAGTTTCTTATTTGGCGGAAATGGCAAAGATTTCGGCTTTTTTGAAGGATCAATCGCAAGAGAAGTATTTTGCAGTATGGAAAAAATGGACAGATTTTATACAACATAAGTTGGATATAAAAAATATTATTTAGTTTTTTAATAACTTATATTTAATATTTAAAATTTAAAATATTTTATAGACTTTACTTTTTTTATTTTTACTTTTTACTTTTATTATACTTTCTTTTATCTTTTTCTTTTTTCTTCTTTATTCTTTTTCCTTTTAAGTATTTTTCTTTTGGTATTTATGTTTTTCTATATATATATTATTGTTAATTATTTTATAATTTGTTTAATTAATGTATTTAGATTTATTCATGGTTTATATCTTTTTTAAGATTTTTTGAAGAAATTTTAATTAAGCCTATATTCAGCTCTGGGAAGGTCAGGGGAGGGAATGGGAGGGTTGGGGAGGTTTGGGGAAGGGTTGTTTTGTTTTTGTAAAATTTTAAAAAATTTTCAATAAAAATGTATTTATAAAAAAAAAATTGGTGATAATTACCACAGGTTACTGTGACCGTCATCAATGTCTACTGGGTTCCAAACATACGAATCATGATCAAATGACTATGAGGAAACTATGACGGCCACAACTTTAAGGACCAGTTGTAAGTCTCTTGGTTAAGTACCATTGTAACTTTGAATAGACCCCGAACAAGTAGTCAGTAAGTGAGGACTACCTGTAATTTAGACATATTTAGCTTAAACACTGTATTTTTATGAAATGGAACAACTCTAGTGAATCTTCAGAATGTCATTGTTAACTCAAGTTACAGTCATTCTATAGGTTTACATTAAACCTAATTCTCATATGAATTAAATGTTCAAAGGGTTTAAAAGCAGAACCAATAAATATGATATGCTGGAAAACAGATTTTAATTAATGTTAAGAATTCATTCTCAAGGCAAGCAGACATGTTGCCCTTGAATTATTACCATTTTGTTCCATGACCATTCAAAATTACACCAGTGCTGAACAAATGGTGCTTACATCTGACCCTCCAAATTATGGCCGCTGCATTTCTCCCATGGTCACATGATCAAAATTCTTGATCATGTACTTTTAACTGCAGAGTACGTCAGTTAACCTCATCCACCTATCTCCCCATCTCTACCATTTTGGATCCCTGCACCCTATTATGTTTGCGGGTTGGAGGCATTAAGAGGAGATGCATGATGTAACAACAAGCCTTTCTTTACTGTTCTCATCCACAACCAACAACAGCAAAATGGCACGGAGGCCTTTTATAGTGTCCTAGTCTCAGACAACGTCAACCAATGATTGCAGAGGCTGTTTCCCACCTTGCGTATGCGCACAAGGCTGGAGACAGCCAGTCTGGTTCCAGGCAGCTTTTGGTCCACCCAGGACCCTTTGCAACATTTCTGATCCTGCTGAATGCTTCAGCAGGCTCAGGACATAACACCTCTCCCCCCCTGGATGAAACAATAATACCTTACTATGTAGCAGCACTGGTACATGCGTTCAATGGACTGGATGTTATTGTGAAGCACAATATGCCTGCACATAGGCAGGGCACCCTTACCTTTATAATTATTTACAGAAAAAAAATACAACAAATAATATGCTGGATAGAACACCCTTTACTGAGTGTTTGTTCTGTATCTTGTTTGAAGACTAGTGAGGTTCCCTTGATTTGACAGAAACCTCACATAGTCCCCAAGATATTTGGGTGGGCCCTTGGCCTGCTGTGACCTTCTGATGGCTGGTGAGTGTGCCTGGCCTGCCAGCTCACCTGCCAGGCTAGGCAGACCAGGACTTTGATGCCCCAAAAACTCAGGTGACCCACCCAGCTGCTGACTGGCTGGATCCACTGAATCCAAGCCAGGGTTCCTTGGGGGGGGGGTGGAATTTCCCAAATCCACAATGGACTCCTCTTAGGAGCAGTGTCCCTTGAGCCCAAGACCAGCAGATGGAGTGGCCTGAGTGGCTGATGTGCCTCAGTAACCCATGGCTCCCGTATATGTGCCGGAGGTGCCAGAGTCAGGAGCTGCTTCCATGGCAAACCCCCTTTTTGGAGACTCCCTGTTTGGAGCACTTGCTGAAGCCTGGGATGACCCCCGTTCTGGAGCAATAGCTGAATCCTGTGAATGTCCCCATTCTGTCACAGGAACATGTGCGGCAGCATGTGAAAACCCGCTGGAGCTGGACGACTGTGGTTCAGAATAAAGATTATGGTCCTTCTCCCCTCTGAGAGCAGAGCCAGAAGCGGAAGTGTTACTGGGTAGCCTCCAGTGCAGTTGGTCTATGTGCTGTCAGATGACGTGCCCTTCGTCTAAGGCCACTTTGTATGATAGTGACCCAGAGAACTTGCAGACCACTGCTGTGACCCAGAGATGTCCAGGTCCATAGTTCCTTGCCCAGACCGGATCATCCACCTGTAGTCTCCTAGGTGCCTGCGATTGTGACACCTATAAAGCCACCCAGTCTGGGTGCAAACTGTCCAGTTTTGTGGTGAGGCGGCGACCCCAGTGGAGTTCTGCTAGGCTCTTCCCTGTGGCTGAGCAAGGTGTGGTGCAGTGTGCAAGAAGGAAATCAGCTAACCTGTGATGCCAGCTGCCATACGTGAGTCTTTTGAGAGCATCTTTGGTAGTGCGTACCATCCTCTCTGCCTGGCCATTGGAAGATGGTGGAATGGAGCAGAAGTCATGTGCCAGATCACGTTGGCCTGAAGAAAAGCCTGGAACTCAAAAGAGGTAAATTGGGGGCCGTTATCTGAGACCAGGACATCTGGAAGTCCATGAGAAGTGAAGATTCCTCTCAACACCTGGATGGTCCTGGTAGCAGTAGTGGAGGAAACAGGCACAACCTCTAGCCACTTGGAGTGGCTGTCAATGAGGAGAAGGAAGAATTGCCCTTGAAAGGGCCCAGTGTAATCTATATGTACCCTTGACCAAGGGGCTTGTGTTTCCTCCCACCTTTGTACAGGGGCCTGAGGAATTTCAGGCCTTGACTGTTGACACACTTGACACCTGTGCACCTAGGCTTTGATGGTTTTATCGAGCCCAGGCCACCAGAGATGGCTGCACGCAAGTGCTTTCATCCGGACTGTACCCGGATGTCCCTCATGCAGAGAGATCAAGATTCTAGACCTCAATGAGGCTGGGATGACTACCCTACTACCCCATAATAGGCACCCTTTGAATGTGGAAAGCTCATGCTTCCTCTGCCAGAAGCTTTGAAACTCAGTATCTGGACACGTGTCAGGCCATCCGGACAACACCCATGTCAGCACGCGTGTAAACGTGTGATCAGTGGCAGTTTCTACAGCCACGTCTCTAGCATTGTGGGGAGATTCAGGTAACTCCTGAATGGAGAGGATGTTAATAGCAGGAGCAGGATCTGCCTCTATCTGTGTTAGAGGTAATCTGCTGAGGCCATCTGCATGGCCCATTTCTTTTCCAGGTTTGTAGTCATATGCAAACAGGAAAATTGACCATCTCAGCATTCTGGGAGATATTATATGAGGGGTTTGCTTGTTTGTAGTAAACAACCCCAGCAGAGGCTTATGGTCTGTATAGACCGTGAAGTGGTGACCATATAAGAAATCATGAAATTTCTGTTTTATAGGTGGCATCTGGATCCTCAAAAGCTGTCTTGCATGTATCCTAATATACAGCCCAAATGTTGGAGATGTGGAAGCTTAGATGCAACTTATTTTCATATTTGATGGACTTGTAAAAATATAAAAGCTTTTTGAATTAAGATTTGGTGGAACATTCAAAAGATTTTTAAGAGAAAGATAAAGTTTACGCCACAATTATTTTTGTTAGGTGTTATTGTAGATTTTGATGTTAAAGAAATTAATTTGATGTTGAATCTTATAACAGCTGCAAGATTATTGGTGGGGCAATATTGGAAGAAAGATTATTTGCCTACTATGGAAGAATGGATATTCAAGGTGTCTAATTTAGCAGAAATGGCAAAAATTTCTGCTTATTTGAAGGACTACTCACAAGAAAGATATATCTCGGTTTGGAGAAGATGGATAGATTATATTCAGAATAAATATGAGACTAAAAACTATTACCTAGCTTATGATTAAATTTTGGATTATTATTAATAGTTTAATATGGTAGAATTTATATTAGTCTTAGTTTTATGGTTTAATTATATTATTATTTTCATATTTAATTTGTTAATATTTATTTTGAAAAGGAGTTAAAGTATGTTATGGATTTGATTGTTTGTACAGTTGGATAATTTTAGTTAG